AATGCGAGCAAGAAGAAAAAGAAGATCTTTATAATCAACCAGAATACAGTCATGGTTCCTATATATGGAACCTGGAGGTAACGGAACGGTCCTCGAAATATCCGGGACTTCCGTAAAAGTGGTCTATCCATAAACCCCTGATCATAGAACTCCGCGGTTTTTTTCGAAAACATTAGGAACTGTGATATAAGAAAGCATTTGGGTTCATGACATAAATATGGACCTGTATGGCCCTAAGACCGTCCTCTGGAAGATCCGAGACATCCGTAAAAGTGATCAATTCATGAAACTGATCCTAGAGCTCCGCAGTTTTAGAAAAAAAAAACACTAGGGCTTGTGATGATAGAATGAATTTGGGGTCATGACAAACATGGACCCTGATAGCTATGAGACTGTCCTCCGAAAGACCCGGAACATACTTAAAAGTTCCAAGGGATTAAATAAAACTGCTGAGCTCTAGAATCAGTTTCATGGATAAACCAATTTTACCAATGATCAGAATCTTTTGAAGAACGGTTTCATAGCCACCCGGGTCCATGTTTAGGATCAGGATCAGTTTCATGGATTGACCACTTTTACAGATGTTTCGGATCTTCCTGAGCACGCGCTCATGGCCATCTAGGTCCGTGTTTATGTCATGAACCCAAATATTTTTTTTTATATCACAGCTCCTAATATTTTCGAAAAAACCGCGGAGCTCTAGGATCAATTTCGTGGATTGACCAATTTCACGGATGTTCCGATGTGCACATTAATCTAATTTATGGATCTTAGGCCACTTGCAAAACCCATAAACACTACTTTAAAAAAACGTGTAACGGCTCTTTTCGCTTTTCAATAAAGTAGACAACCCTATTTTTAATCTTTTTACAATCAAAATAATCTACAGAACCTAAAAATGTATAGGATATATTAAGCAATTAAATATATTTTGCCCAAATGATACTAACAATAATGCTAAAAATTGTGATAAATAACTAACATGACGAGAATAACCTGCTTAATAATTATATACATATAATATTATTTAATGTTGTTATTTTCTCTGCTTCATCAGCTTCATATTAATTTCGATGACTTGCTTGGGTAAACTGAAATATTAAGCTGATAGTAATAGTATATCATGCAATGTATAATTTATATAATATATGTAGTGAAATACGAAATATAAAAAAATAAACAAGTTTTGTTATTTATAAATCATTGGTCGTTGGTACCTGTATAATAATTATAAGCATATAATGTTAAGTATTGTTGTTGCTTCCTCTGCCTTATCTGCTTAATTTTAATTTCGATGAGTAATAAAACACAATAAAGTGAACAATAAAATGGTGCCTACCTTCTCTCATCTTTTAAATGCATTGTTATCAAGCAACATTTAGATAAATCAACGCCTAGCGCGCTCTAGAAACAATACAGGTTGTAAAACAATATATCAAAGTATGTAGTAATATTCAGGATCCACATATAAGGCGACTCATGAATATGTATGTTCATGTGCAGGATTCACCTCAAGTTGGCGATGCAACCAAAAGTATGTATTGTTTATTTGTTGTTTTTTTTTTATTCTCTCGATAGCCGGCTATCGAAAGAACATATTTATTTTGTTTAGTGATCATGCATTTTAAGAGTCATGACGGAGAGCTTGGGATTGAACCCATGATTTTCTGCTCAGTAAGCAAAAACGATCCCTCCAGGGTCATCGAGCATCTCATAATGCACAGCGCTTCGCGTCAAAGTACGATGCATTAGACTATTCTTGAATTAACCTGAATAAATGCTGAAAAATAAATTATTACAATACAAATCTAAAGATGTTTCTCCTTTGAAGAGCTGAAAAAAGTTGAAAAAGTTGAAAAAAGGCTGAAAAGCACATATCAAGATCAGTATTTGGAAAAACTCGGATCAGCGGATGGAAAATTAACACATAATTGCATTAACATGCAATCAATTGCTTTTGGCAATGCGGGGCTGCAGGTAGTGATGAAACGTCGCTAGAACTATTCCACAGCCGCAGACAGTATATGAGCAATAATATCAAACAAATGTACAATGTATCTATATATTGCAGTTATGTTAATTCTGAAATAAAAAAAAATAAATAAAATCATTCAGCTGTCATTGAATATCAAAATTTTAATTATTGGAATCCGATAACTAGAAAAGAAGGAGTAAGGAATAATAGTAAATAAATAAATAAGCATGTATAATAATATAATATAACATGAAGTCTGTAATAACATATACACATAGTACAATACTATTAAACAATACATAATGTGATGAACGAACATAAATTGTAATTAAAAATGTAGCATAATATAATGAGATGAAATAATAATAATAATAATATGCAGTCTGATCGAACCAGTGATGGAAAAGTTCATCAAAGTTCCCTATGACTCGCGAACTTTTCCCTTGGTGAACTTCGTGAAATATCGCGAACTTTTCCAACACTGGATCGAACATATAATACCATTAAATAAAAGATGACGTTGTAGCAACGATTGAAAAAGAATAATGAAATAATCAAAAACATTCTCTATTTACCCAAATTTCAATATGGAATAAAGATTGGCACTTACTTCTGAAGACTTGTAATCAATCCCATCTAAAGCCACTAGGGGTTCAATGTGCTGCTACTGTGAGAAGATCCGTTAATATAATTATGATACAATAGTGTATTAATTAGTATTTGTTTGAAATGTTTTCATGTTGATAGCAATGCATTAATGTTTTAAAATCACAAGGATCCTACCGAATCATTAACTTTATTCTAAAAATGAAAAAAAAAACTTAAACATCAAAATGAAAAATATATTCAGGTTTGTTGTACTGAAAAATTATGTAAAAAAAAAATAAAAAAAGAACATATCATCATTTTAGCCAATATAAAATAACATTTATTGTTAAGGAATGAAATTTCATAACAATAATTTGTTGTCTGCAACTTTGGAGAAACATTGATTTTAAACAAATTAATACATAAGTATAATTTTCAACAGACAACCTTGTAGAGACCATGGAATCCGGGATATACCTCAAACACGTTGGTGTCTTCAATTAAGGCGGGCATAAGATCACTTGACGTCCCTCGCGACTACCTAATAAAATTTAAATTAATATTTGAACGAATAATCAAGGTAATGACAAATCAAATTAATTTGACAAATGTATGCAGGTATGTTGAACTGAAAAATTGTATTCAAGAAATCAACATATTTACAGCTAAGCTAGGCCAATAGAAAAAAAAATGCTTTTTGTGTAATATTGTTCAGTATGTTGTATAATATTAATTCAATCATTTGGCATTGTGGGCTAATGGATTTCTAATTTGACTGAAACAAAATGAGAAATATTGATGTAAAAACAATGATGTATTCCGTTTAATTACAATTGAAGTACCAAAACAAAAACCTGGTCCACAACCTATAAATAATAAATAAATACTATCTAGACAAAAGTGATTTAAATAATTATTAGGGAAATGGAAAATCATTTATCTAGCTCTTATAAGCACCGTCGGTCATTCTGCTAACACTTGTTAAAAAATCTCCCGTACACTGCAGCTCTGGAGCACCACGCACATAAAAACTCGCATAAAAGTTTATGCTATGCGAAACTTATGTCAATAAGAGGAAGAATCTAATTCGTTTCAAACACTGAATAGTTCGTCCACCACGTTGTACCATACAAACACGAGCAAAAGAAAGGGACGACCAGTTTCACACCGCTCGTTCTCCTCTACTAGTTATGAGTCAAAAGCAACACGAGACAACTACATTTACATCGTCATGGGGAAAGAAACATACACAAACAGGAAAAATTTCTAGGCCGAGCAGCATCAAAAGGGGCCATCCATTCAGTACGTCACGCTTTAAGAAGAGTCGATGGGGGTTCTAGAAATCTGTGACAAACAGCCCATGTTATAGGAAAAGCGTAGTGAAAATGAGAAGAGAAAGTTTATTTATAATAATCAAATTGCGACGTAATTAATGGATGCTGGGAACAATAAAGTTACATGGTATGTAAAGCGAAAAAACAAGAGGTTGAACGGGGCAACCAGAAGGGAAACGTCGATACCTAATATTTAAAAAAAAAAACAGCAAATCAAAAAACATAGTTGTAATGGAACATTCTCACCAAGTTCTCCACCATGATAACACAGCATGCCACTTATCACCATCGTGATGTTTTTTTTTCGCACATGAAGTTGAACGTTGCTGTCAGCATATGCCACAGCACGCCTGAGATGGTAACATCGCCGTCTCGCCAGCTAACTGTTTTTATATCACAGCTCCTAATGTTTTCGAAAAAACCGCGGAGCTCTAGGATCAATTTCGTGGATTGACCAATTTCACGGATGTTCCGATGTGCACATTAATCTAATTTATGGATCTTAGGCCACTTGCAAAACCCATAAACACTACTTTAAAAAAAAAACGTGTAACGGCTCTTTTCGCTTTTCAATAAAGTAGACAACCCTATTTTTAATCTTTTTACAATCAAAATAATCTACAGAACCTAGGAATTCTAGACTATGTACTATGTATTTTTTTTTTAATAATTAGTCAAAAAATGGCTATGTTATGCTATTTCAAACTTGCTATTACACGTTTTTCGGAGGCATCGTATTCGGAGTGTTAAAGGTTTGCAATCAATTAAACGTTATATTGCTGTTTCAGGAAAAATAATTCAATGCAACTGACAGCCACATCATGCTATCAAAACTGATAATCTGACGCCAAATGCTACTTTTCTCATTATTGGCAATATATATTTAGAGAAACATAGCAGTTATAGTAAGCAATAGAATCAATTTGTAATATTCTTTGTGTTCATAGTAGTCTCAGTGTTGCGTAATCATAAAGTGAGCTAGGGTTATTAGTTATTGAATTGAGAACTATCCTAATAGCTGTCATGAGACAGTAATTTCAACGTCAATTAGTCAATAAATCCATCAACTGAAACGAACCGTTTCTTCAGAGCATGAACTGCAATCAATGATTTCCGACTCCATTTTCCTCGTAGAACTGTTGCATGATTGTGAAGAATGAGAACGCCGTCCTCATGGCCTGTCATGTAATCAATTGGAAACAATTAAATGGTCACATTCGTAATTACCTCAACGATAAAACCCTACCCTTCCGAATGTCGATCGGGTGAGATAGAAAAATTTTGCAGCACTAATTGCCACCACCCGATTGGACCTCATTTGCATAAACAGCAATAGGCGGCGTTCGGCAGCCGCCCGCTCGTACCATTGTGTGTTGTAAATCGCAGTGGAAATCGATGCACTCTGAAAGGCATTCTTCAGCGTCAGTAAACCATGGCAACACGTTTAATACATACCTCTTCCATTAGTTCCGTTCCCAGCATCGAGAAAGCAAATATCAAAAAGACAGTATACTGCAGTAGGAAAACCATCGATGCTAGTAGGAACAGGTCATCTATCTGAAATTCAAAATCATCTCATGCATTAGACGATCGATCGAATGCAGTGCCAGAATCATACCACACTGACAATGAACATGAGGTAGCATGTTTGAAATATGCACGAACAATACAGCAAAGCCATTACCGGACTTAAAACACTTTCCAGTCGGCGAGCACTTCTGAAAGATCGATTGGCAGTTAGGAGGAATATGATCGATGAAATCACAGCAGTTCCATACCTGAAGCACACCTCGTGAACTTCAGCGATGACGGCGAGCTGTTCCTTGAACGCCACAGGATCCTTGTAGTCGTTGAGGCGAGCAATCTCCATCCGAACTATTTTGAATAGACAGGACACGTGATGCAGAAGATTCCAAAACAAGCACTCATTCGATGACATCAGTGTAAGCATGCAGTACTGGACCATAACCGATGTAAACATCGTGGGTAACCAAACCCAAAAATTGGCAAATTGATCGAAGATAATGAAACTTGAAAAATGAGACCGTTACACGTTTTGTAAAAATTTAGCAAACGGAATAACTACTTAGCTTCCAGCACGGTGGATGGCAGCTCAAGCGGTTCTTTACCGATTGAATATCTGAAGGTTGTAGTGATTAAGGGAACCCAACCATACGTAGAAGCTTGGAAGTAGACCATACAGAAGTAAATCTTAGCGAGGTATTGCGTTGATCGCTCGGCATGCCGCAAAACGCTTCTGACGTCTTCATGAAGAATTCCTCCAAATTGGTCAAATGCTTGTTGCAAATCCAAATAACACTTGCAAATCGTCTCCAAATGCAGCAAATGATTCAAAATTCGAAAAACAAACATCAGTATGGCAAACAGTTCCAAAATTGGTTTCATTAAAACGATGAATGATGACCCCGTTGAACCCGTGATGAATGCTGCGGAAGGTATAATGTACCAAACAATCATGCAAAATAAAACTAATGATGGTTTCCAGGCAAGCTGACGGTTGTTTTCGTCAAACCACAGACCACAGAGTTTACACCACTTCACGGTAAATGACATGAGAGGAAACGTGTCCTTCTGATTGGTTGGTGCCATCGTTGCGTTGGTAGAAGGTTGAAACAGGTTTTGTAAGAAATACAATAGGTCCATTCAGGAACAGCTAACACGATCGAATGGAAATGTCTGCACCGGTGACGATTTGGTTAATGAGGGGAATGGGAAAGTATCCGTCCAATTAGGGGTGAATTTCCACTGATAAGTTCGTTAGTTGACAATTAATGTCCATCATTTCAAAAGTTGCAAACGCAATTGAGCTCGTTACATATATGCGGGCTTGTTGAATGCTACATAGATCGAGATTGTTAACCTACAGGGTGATACGGAATAACTGTCAGTTTTAAAAATGGCCATAACGGCGACGCATGGTTCCTTTTCACCTGTATAATGACGCGAAAAATAAATGTTCCATTCGTTCGAAGAGATTTCAGTTTCTAAAAGATAGCACACGAATTTATACAGATTTATGACATGCTCCATTTTAACGTCCATGGCTGCTTGAAATCGAAAACCAATGAAATTTCAAAAGCTACTATAAAATACAAGCTGATATTTGTACACACTTTAAAACAAAAATACTTGAATATATACCCATTTTACCCATTAAGAATTGCATATTTGTGAAATCGGTGACAGTTATTCTGAATCACCCTTTATATTCAAAATATTACAGCATTGTGTATCTTAATGCGTTTAGATTTATTTTTATGTTCGCCGCATGCTGTCTAGCCTTTAGATATGTGTCGGGGCTAGAAATCATTTAGAATTAGTTTCTAATTCTTATGGATTTGTGCTAAAAGTATAAGGAAGTTGTTTCCCTGCAAAACGAGTTTATGAATGATTACTTTTGATTTGCTTTAAGGTGAACGTTGATAGAATCCACAAATGGCCACGATTTTTAATATTTTGCCTGACCTCTTCGAATTTTTGATGGCACGAATCTTTGAAACTATAAGGATTTCGTGTGCGAAACTATAATCACTCTTTTGCTGCACTGCAGCATACATTTGATTACAAGTTGCTGTACGAAATATTTATAGCTTCTGAGATTCGTTTCATCAAAAATTCGAAGTGGCATATCAAAAACAACAAAATAGCGGCCATTTGTGGATTCTATAAACTTCCTCCTAAATTCAGTTTCAGCTATATGAGTTGCATCTTGTTACATGCATTTGGAACAAACGATATGATATCCAAAGTGTGTGTTAAAATCCTGAAATTTTATTATAATAATGGTGGTGTTTTGAATACATTGTACCTAAACTGATAAAAATGTGCGCTTGATTAAAGGTTCCTACGACACATGAAGTATTCTCTAGGAGTATATCATGTGATCATAAGATATTAAACGGACGTGAATTTAATTGCCATGTACAGAACATGTACCTACTCTTAATTGACGTGCACTGGACGATTGCTAGCTGCAATATGTTTAGATTCCCATGTCTATTAAATGGCTTGAACGGTTCTTAAGTCGTATGCAATTTTCAATTATTCAGTGTATCTCAAAATTGAGTGTACAGCTGCCCTTCAATTTTATATAAACAGCTGTATGAGCACAATTTATTAAGATAGATTTCTGAATTTTTGGTTGCTGGCTCATCAAACATTTATCGGTAATTGGAATAGTGTTGGGCTTATTTAAATGAATGTGTAAGAAGTTAGAGCTATGTTAGAAAAACGCACAACTTCTTAAAACACAAAACCAAATTTTCTTGAAACGCGATGATACAAACTTTTTTAAATTTCGCTCATTTGTATTCATAATAATGATCTTTCATATGCTGCTTATTTTACTAAAATCCGTTCACTATAAATAAGTTGAATAAACCACTAAAATTACTTAATTAAATTTTTAAAATTTCATACCGGCTCTGCAAATATAGTTCAAACCTATACTGATAAACCAATAAATAGTTGATTAACCACCTGTCAAGGTTTCAAAAATCTATCTATTCAAAGCCAAAGCCACTCAGGATATTGTTTTAGGTGGTGAACTCTAATGTTTGCGCCCACCCCTATTATTTCATTGTGACGATGCCCTTATCACACCACCAATGCCCAGACAGCTCATAGAAGCTACATTCAAATTAAAATCCATTTACATAAATTTTTCCTTTCGTAGAATTTCGATAAAGTTCTTTAAACTTTCCAGGTGTTCTTAGAACTTCTTTGAAATGTGCAGAACGTCTCTGAATTCGGCAAGGTCATAGTACTTCCCAGATGCTATGATATTTTACCTGCAGCTCGTAGAAACAAAACTATCCAGACATTTGAAGAACTTTTCTTAGTTTTGTAGCTTTCCTGGCTTCATGGAAGTTAATAGATATTTGCTGAAGTTAGCAGAACTCTCTCGAAGGTCATAGAACTTACCAGGAGAACATTGAACTTACCTGATGCTTGTAAAACGTTCCGGAAATTTGCAGAATTTTCCTGAAGTTTGTAGAACTTCTCCGAAGATCGAAGTATTTTCCTGAAGTTTGAAAAACATCTTTGAAGTTTGCAGAATTTTCCTGAAGCTTGTAGAACTACTCTGAAGTTCATTGATCTTCTCCAATTCTTTGAAGTTCTTAGATATCTACTGAAATTTGCATAGCTTCCTTGCAGTTCACGAAACTTCATCGTAGAGTTTTCCTGAAGCTCGTAGAGCTTTCCAAATGTCCCTGAAGTTCGCAGATTTTTCCTGGAGTTTATTATACGGGGGTTGCTCGATAAGTTTTGAGTATGGCAACACTTATTTCAATAAGAACTGTTCATTAATGAATGTAACCTGTTTCTCAAAGGAAAATATTTATTTTCGAACACATTCGTATGTTTACTTTATATAAATAAAAATCAACATAGGGGAACGGCTTCGGCATGACAGACTATTTTCGGCAACCCAAATTGAAACACTATTTTCACTGGATTTTCTTACGAAAACACTTCGCTGAATGCATGCAAACGATTCTTTATTCTTCAATTTGACTATATTTTTACCACTGAGAAAAAGCAATCTAGCAAGGTTTTCTTAAAATGAAACACACGCACTACAAATTGTAGCTGATTTCGAGTTGCCGATAATAGAACAGCAGATTTACATGCAGTTCAAATGGAACGGTTGCCGAAGAAAAACTGGTTGCCGACAATACTCGCTCTCACTAGAGAAGATTGGAGCTTTGCAAAAGCGTTTCAAAACAGTTTTTGACAATTCTTTCGACTGAAATTGTTAGAGCAGCTGGCAGCAATAGATTGTAAACAAACCAATACTGCATATGTGTGCGTTCCTTAGAGAAAAAGGCTATAGAAAGAAGGTCGCTGCTTAGGTTGCCGAGAATACGTAAATTCCCCTACATATGACCGATTTCAAGTGAGTTTGAAAGTTTATTTATTTATTTATATCATTTCTGAAGAACGCTGGGACTTTTCTCTTGATACCTCCAATTAAATTTTGCACAACTTTATTCTTAACTTTTTGTTGTGCTGCAGACGAAATTTTCTTGAAGCAGTCAACAGAACTTGCTTCACTTCAATCTTTCTTAAGATACCGTTTAATTACTGCCCAGTATCTTTCGATAGGACGTAGTTCAGGGCAGTTTGAGGGATTTTGGAATTTTTCGACAAGATCGACTTTTTTCTTCTTGAGCATCTCTAACGTAGCAGAAGCATAGTGAGCAGATGCCAGATCCGGCCAAAACAATGAAGGATCCGTATGCTTTCGGTAGATAGGTAGAAGCCGTTTCTTGATGCATTCTTTTCTGTAATTTTCACCATTGATTGTGCCCGTTATGAAATACGAAGAACTCTTCAAGCCACAGGAGCAAATGGCTTACCACACCAAAACCTTTTTTCCAAATTTTTCGGTTCGGATTCATCCCACATCATCAGGCACATCTGTCCTCTGCTCAGCGTTGAAAAATTGCAGCCTGGGAGGTGTACTGGTATCCAATTTGACGTACGTCTCGTCGTCCTTAAAAATGCACCGGTTCGGCTTTTGAAGGAGAACGTCATACAAGTTCCGTGACCGTATTTTTGAAGAACCTTTCTATGAATCTGTCCTTTCGGGTGTTTTTTTGCTTATTGTAGGTTCTGATATTGTTACGTTTTTTGATATTCTGCACAGACGCTAATGTCCAATTTTTTGGCAATTTCACGAGCGGAACACGGTTTATGCGATTGGAAATGCATACTGCAGCCAGCTCCTTTTTCTGGTCCGATGCCCCTTTTTGTGCCCAGATTTCGGTAAATCTTCAAGAGAACACGTTTCTCCAATCTTCTTAACAATCTTGAACACTGTAGATTTACTGCACTTCACGCTTTTTGCCAATTCTCGAAACGACAAGCTGATCCGACCCATCGTTCGAAATTTCTCACTTTTATTTTTTATTTTTCATGTGTGTTGCCAAAACAAACAATGTTTTTACACACTGAGCGAAAATTCACCATTTAACCCTAAACCATTGATAAACAAGTGTCCACTTTCTTTAATAAACAGTCCTTACGACAAATATGACATCAGCGTCGTATAGTTCAAGCGTAACTATTCAAATCGACGTATCTACTTTTGTATGCAATCACTTCAATCGACGATGTGTATTAACTGCAAGCTCACTCACGCAAACAAACCCTAATAAACAAATACCATAAAC